GCAATATAAGAGTTAATTGAAAAAACGGATTATGTAAGATTAAGCCTTGAGTGAGGTAAAAATAAAGTTGAGTGTATTTCCTTCTGGTTTTAATGTCCACTGTTTCCCTTCCGTATCAATTTTTCTCAGGCAAATTTTACATTCTCCTGGTCCTCATAGGGATCTCGTGTAAGCAAATATGCTGCTCCCTGCTGTAAGCTGGGCTTATATAGGCCTTAAATGTCTTGCAACTTATGCATGCCTAGAATAGTATTAGGTCTAGGATATTGTGATCGAATGTCAACGTTTCCGATTAAGGTATAAGGCACTTTAGGTATGTTGGTGAGAGCTCGATGAGATGGAAGCTGCAATTCGTTTGTATGATGATGTATGTTCAGAACGAAAGGTCGTCAACACACTACAATATGATATGACTAACACCGCAACGAAGACGATGGGAGTGCAAAGCGATGTTATAATTAAAGTTTCACCTTCGCTCTCTAGATCGGACTGGATGAGATCAAGGGACGGCTTCTTAGTCTTATTCTCCTCTGCTGTAATGGAGTCCAGTGTATCTTGGTCAGCCGTTACCTTAGAGACAGGGTAAACTTGTATTTGTGATTCAAGGCCGAGTATGGAAGGGTCGGGCATTCCTTGGTCCGGTAAAGCGAATTGGCGCAGGCGCGGTGGGCAGACGGCCGCAATTGCGTTAAAGTCGGCATTGGTTGGATACGAGAAATGGCCACTCTCCGAGGTCGATGCGCTAAAACTCATTGAAGATCCAGTAACTTCAAGAGATTGTCTTCTTTGTTGTTGAATAGGGCCGGCTGTAGGTTGGCAAAGTGCACTCAGACCACGAAGGAAAGTGGCCGATTGGTGATTCTGCATGTCTTGGAAGGATGTCGGAGATGCATAGGTGGCCTCCTCGTCGACCCAGCCTGGCATTGGTGTCTGCTACAAGTCGACAAACGAATAGGATTTAGTGCCTTGGTAGAGCGTACTTTGATATAAGAGGACACACAAAAGCAGGAAAACATTGGGAAAGGTAACCAAGGGAAACGTTTAGTCATCTGTTGTCTGATGAATAAAGCATATTCGATTCGACCCAATGTGGAGTTGAGGTGCCGTAAGCGGATTAGAAGTCCGGAAGGTGAATTACAAGAAAACCAAATAACAAGAATGCCAATCGCTCACAAGAAGAGCCCTCAAGCCATTCAGTTATAGAAAATCTCAGCCGAATAAGCAAGTAGTGTCTGCCTAGCTGGAGGAGTGGGTCTTAGGTCTTGACAAAAAGGTGGTTAGGATATAGCCTATATCCAAAAATAATGTAGAATTATCTTATTATTAATAATAATAGGGTGAATAATTGGTAAGTATTCAGCTTTTCATTGTAGACTCAGAATATTCCCATTTTCCGATCGTGAATAGACAGGACAAATTTGTGACCAGTTATAAGATCATAGTCTAGCCTCGAAGCAGAGAAATGGTCACTAAAGCTGAAGCACGATAACTAAGAGCCTAGCATTGACTACGCCCCGCGAAGCCTCCAAACATGTTTGAGCAAAGTCCATGAAGTGTTTATGCGTTATAATGCAGAGTATGATCTATTTTATGCTCTTGATATCGGTAGTCGTGATAAAAAGGCAGCACACGAGATTTCGGCAATATATCGTGCCGTATAGTGACTAGACTTCCGGGTTCTGCCGATGTCCAATGTGTGTGCCTTTCAAGGTAAACATAAGTAACTGAAACTAGCGCGATGAAGCATATTGCTGCATGTACTACAAGCGTCAGGTTGCATGAGAAAACAATAGAGGACAGTTGAAAGCCGATTAATTATTCATGGAAAATCAATATAATTACAATCAATTCTAAATGACAGGGAGCGGTGTTATTTGCACAATGAAAAAGTTTTCGTGGACTGATGTCAGCTTGTAAAGACCATGCTTTGGTCTCGGTAAAGAGACGAGTTGTAGTTGGGTGCTGAGAATGACATGACTCACTGACGCTGCCGACTATGATGGCGGCGAAACGTCTGAGAATGTACCATGTGTACGGTCCGAGGCTTGGAAATATGGTAACTACTATGACAGAGGACTTTGGAAAAGGTGCTCACAGCAAAGTCGCCCTGATACAAGCATGCATCGAAGGGATACTACGACCAAAATAGAGGCTACATCCTGGTTCGCCGATATGTTTAAAATTATGGTATTTCGGATATAAATTCTAATGAACTGAATTTATTTATTTAAATGCTAAGCCATGAAATGTAATTTTCACATGGACAAATGCAAAATATTGCGTCAGTACTTCTAAGAGTAAACCAGTTGAGAACTCCAGCGCTCCGGAACCTAAATTTTGCCATTATTAAGTTAATATTGTAACGTATTTATTTGAGTCGCACGTTGAACGC